TCCAGGACATCTTTAAATGTTCCAGCATCCAAATTACAGAAGGGGAAGAGGAAGAGCAACAAGTGGAAAACTTATTTGAACAAACAATACACGAGAACTTCCCCAATCTGGCAAAGGAAATAGACTTCCAGGAAGTCCAGGAAGCTCAGAGAGTCCCAAAGAAGGTGGACCCAAGGAGGAACACACCAAGGCACATCATCATTACATTAGCCAAGATTAAAATGAAGGAGAGAATCCTAGAAGCAGCAAGAGATAAGGGGACAGTCACCTACAAAGGAGTTCCCATCAGACTGTCAGCTGATTTCTCACAAGAGACCTTACAGGCAAGAAGGGGCTGGAAAGAAGTATTCCAAGTCACGAAATCCAAAGACCTACATCCAAGATTGCTCTATCCAGCAAAGCTTTCATTTAGAATGGAAAAGCAGATAAAGTGCTTCTCAGAGAAGGTCATGTTAAAGAAGTTCATCATGACCAAGCCCTTATTATATAAAATGTTAAAGGGACTTATCTAAGAAAAAGAAGATAAAAAATATGTACAGTAAAATGACAGCAAACTCACAGATATTAACAACCACACCTAAAACAAAAGCAAACTAAGCAAACAACTAGAACAGGAACACAATCACAGAAATGGAGATCACATGGAGGGTTAGCAACGGGAGTAGGAGGAGGAGAGGTGGGGAGAAGGTACAGAGAATAAGTAGCATAGACGGTAGGTATAAAATACACAGGGGAGGGCAAAAATAGTATGGGAAATGTAGAAGCTAGAGAACTTATGACACATGGACATGAACTAAAGCGGGGGAATGTGGGTGGAAAAAGGGAGTGCAAGGTGAAGGGGAATGATGGGGGGGTGGAAATGGGACAAGTGTAATAGCATAATCAATAAAATATATTCAAAAACAGCCCTGGCTGGTGTAGCTCAGTGGATTGAGCACAGGCCTGGGAACCAAAGAACCACGGTTTGATTCCCAGTCAGGGCACATGCCTGGGTTGCAGGCCAGTTCCCAGCAGGGGATGCACGAGAAGCAACCATACATTGATATTTCTCTCCCTCTCTCCTTCCTTTCCCCTCTAAAGATAAATAAATAAAATATTTTTAAAAAGTACATAATACTATTATCTCTACTTTGTTCACTACTTAAATTACCCAAATGAAAAATTTTAAAACAATAAATTTTTCTAAGTTGGCTACTATCATTATTATCTTCTCAGGTCCCCTCTAAAAGACTGATATACCTTATAACTCAGATATTAAAACTGTTAAAAGCTCTATAAAATAAATATTCCTATGATAAAAAGCATATTGTTTGCTCTTTACAAATTAATTTATAAAATAAAAACTAACATTCTATCCATACTATTCCATTTGTATTGTCTTACAAAATTTACTATTAGTAAGGTTTCCTTCGGAAAAATAAACCTTTCCTTATGGAAGGGTGTTTGTAAAAGAAAGTCCACAATGAGATTACACTTGGCAATAGTACAATGATTTTTAAAAAGGCTCTAGCCCTGGCTGGTGTAGCTCAGTGGATTGAGCGTGGGCCTGCATGAGCCCAGTTCCCAGCAGGGGACACATGAGAGGCAGCCATACATTGATGTTTCTCTCCCTTTCTCTTTCCCTTCCCCTCTAAAGATAAATTTAAAAAGTTTTTAAAAATAAATAAATAAATAAAATTAAAAATAAAATTTAAAAAGGCTCCAGAATGGGAACAAATGAACTCAAATTCCACATCTACCTCTTAGTGTATCTGATGCCTTATTTTCCCCATCAGTAAAATGAGGATAATAACAGCACCTACTATACGGTTGTTCTGATGAAAAATTAAGCAAAACACTAATGCCTGGCACAGAGTAAGTAATCAATACATTTAGTTATTCGGCTGGCCAAGAATTTTTTTTTTTTTTCTGTAAGATGGCTCTAGTAGCACTTAGCTGTTTTTAACTTCATTCAATACAATTTTGTTAGATTGTATTGGGACAGCTGTTATATCTGCACACTTAAAAAACTATGAAAAATGGTGAATTTTTGTATAGCCATTTTAATATTGAAGATGGAAGAAAATGTGCAACATTTCTGACATGTGATGCTTTACTGGTTCAAGAAAAGTCTCTGGCTGGTGTGGCTCAGTGGATTGAGTGCCAGTCTGCACTCAATCCACCGGTTGGAAAGAGTCACCGGTTGGATTCCCACTCAAGGCACAAGACTGGGTTGTAGACCAGGTCTTCAGTTGGGGACACATGAGAGGCAACCACACATTGCTATTTCTCTCCCTCTTTCTTCTTCCTTTCTCCTCTCTTTAAAAATAAATAAATAAAATCTTTTTTTTTTAAAAGGTAAAAAGGGAGCTGAAATGCAAAAAAAGGATTTGTGCAGTGTATGGAGAAGGTGCTGTGACTGACAGAACATGTCAAAAGTGGTTTGGGAAGTTGCATGCTGGCGATTTCTCTCACTGGATGATGCTCCACAGTTGCATGGTAGATCAGTTGAAATTGACAGCAATCAAATGGAGACATTAACTGAGAAAAATCAATGTTCTACCACTGATTTTTACCAACATACTCAAAATATCCCAACCAATAAAGTTACTGGTGAAAATGAAAAATGTGTCTTTTATTCTACAGAAATAAAAACATATAGACTTTGTGGCCAACTCAATATTGTTATTATTGTTACTTGTTCTTTCTTAAAGGGATCTCTTATTGGATTCTTCCAATAAAACCAACCAGTATCATAACAATGTAAAAGATGAATATTTTCAAAGGCCAAGTAAATAAAGTGAAACAATAATATCTACCAGTTCCTTATATAAAACTTTAAAAGAAACTGAAAAATGTATTCAGGTCTTTTAAGTTTAAAAGCCCATTCCCATTAACACCAAGTAAAAAAAGAAGGACCTGCAAATTTCGCTGGCTGAGAATACCACCAATGAGGTGTGGGGTGGGGTTGGTGGTGAGGCACACTGTGCAGCCTGGAACAAAAGCTTTGGACCAGAAATCAGTCCTGGTTTTCCCTGGAAAACAATACAGCACAGTGATTCACAAAGGAGTCAATCTATTCAAGTTCTTATCCACCTTCATCATGTACTAGCTATATTAGTTAAATTCTCTAAGTGTAGATATCTTCATTTGTTAACTGCAGGTGGTAAGAATGTCTACCTCAAATACACATTAGTTTGAAGATTCAATGAGATAATACAAATAAAACACTCAACACAAAGCATAATACCTAAAAAATGTTAGTTATTGACCTGATTGGTCCTAACTCTGCTAGAATTCCAACTTCAATAATTTTTCAACCCCATTGAGACCTACTGATAGTGACCCCTTTTCACTAACCCTTAGACCCCTCCCACCCCAATCCTTCACTTCTATCCCTTAAGTCCACCTGTATAATCACTCCTTTGCCCTTGTCTTCATCATTCTTGCCTGGCAAACTCCAATCCTTCTATCTATCTGCTCTGCTCCTTCATTCAGGCAGCTGACTAGTCTCAACTTAAATTCATGACCACTAACATCGAGGGATGCCCAACAATACTACTTTCTGAAACCCACTCAGTTACTCCTCCTATACCAGGGCTTCTCAAATTTAAATGTGCATACTGTCTAGTACAAAAGTCACACATGACTACAATTGTAAAATTACATTAAACTTCAGTCCTTCCACTGCAGTAGGCACATCTCAAATGATCAATAGCCCCATGGGGCTGGCGGCTACCAAATGAGACAGTGCAAAAATAGAACATTTTCATTACCACAGAAAGTTCTACTAATGGCAATGTCCTAGAAAATTGTTTTATACTTTCTCCTCCCTCCTCAAACCTCCAACCCTTCCTCTCCCACCCTTGTTTTTAGCTGATAATCTTGGTTCCTAATTGAGTGAGAAAAAAAGAAGTGAACAGAAAATTTCCACAGCCTCTCTCATCACATCTACTGACCCACATGCATCTGTACCCATATATTCTGCCTTCTTTCCTGTTACTATAGATGAATATGGTCCTACTTAATCCCTCCACTGACGCACTGGATCCTCTGTCCCCTATTCTATTCAGGAACAATCACTCCAGCAATCTCTTCTCTTCCGAATCAATCTTCCCTCTATACAGGATAATTCCTGTGAGCATACAAGTATTGTATAAATTCTCCTGTCTTAAAAAAAAAAAGTTCTGTTTTGACCTTCATTTATTACCCCATTCCTCCACTTTCCTTTATAGAATTCCTCAAGAGTTATCCATACTCAAAATCTCCAGTCCCCCCCTTCCCATTCTTTCTTGAACCCATTCTTCAATCAGCAGCTTACAAGGCCTTACGATGACCTACATCAACCCACTGATCCACCCTTGTCCCTCCCACACACACTCTCCATCATCACCATCTTCCCCGGATCAGCGTTTAGACACACAACCCTCCTTGCTCTTCACTCACACTGTTGTTTCTGCCTGGAAATCTTTTCCTCCGTATAGGTAGGTGTGTGGCTTCCTACCTCCTTTTTGCCACAATGCCATCTTCTCAACAAAGCCTTTCTTGATCAACTTTCTAATATTGCAAACCTACCCTACCCCACCCCACACTTCCTTGTCCCGCTTATCAGCACCTGACATATTTTAGCATATATTTTAGTATGTAGACCACACACATATAAACACTACGAATGCATAGATTTTTGTCTGTCTCACTGGGGTGCGCTCAATTTTTTGTTGAAAGCGAGGATCAATGTTACATAGTCTTCTCTCTGCAAATCATATTTAGAAACTCGGCGAAATAACACACATGACATTAAGTAATCTGTAAAGTTAAAGACACCCGTTCCTGGCTCATCGTGACCTGCAAGAAAAGCCACGCCTCAAACATGAGGGACAGGAGCTCCCCTTTCTTTAGAGAAGGACTTTTCCCTTCAGGGCAGAGGCTACCACCTGAAGCTTGCTTGTAGTTCTGGCAAACACACAGATCGCCCAGTTCTAGGGACAGGCCAAGCGGACTCTCTTCCCGCAAAAACTCACCGCCATGGCGCCGCCCAGCCGACAGTGCAAACCCACGACCGTGACCTCAGCGATCCCCCTCCTTAAAGGAGTAGTTATAACCTGCCCCGCTCCCTATCGGGGAACCCACGCTTCCCAAGTCACTAGAGCACACTCTCCTGCTGAGGCAATCGCAGGCTCACTATTAACTACCGGCGGGTGCATCTCTTCGTCTGCCGGGAATTGTAGTTCAAAGGTCGCTAAAGCCCAAGTGCAGCAGGCACTTATTGACTACAATTCCCAGAGAACAACGGGATAGGGAAAAGTAACCCAACAGGCCATTCAGAAGTGACACCGGTAGTGATGACACAGGCACGTAGAACCACCAAGTTCACCGGCGGCTGCGCGCTGCGATTGCAGCGAAGTCCCAAGCCTTCGTTCAACCATTTCACCCAGTGTAGCCTGTCGGGTGTCGGTCAGGATGCTAGGATGCGAAATTTATTAGTTTTCTGTGGCAGATGCTAGTTATGACTTGCCACTGTGAGTGTATATTTATCACTGTCGGTGGCATTCAACAGCGCAGAATTTAAGACAGTTTATAACCATTTATTAACAATCTCCGTTTTTTTAATTTAATTTTATTTTGTACAGTTTTCTGTCTTTTACTCGCATCCCAACCCACCCCCGCCCCCGCAGCCCTCCCAACAATCTACGTTTTTAAGAGAGGCTGATGACTACCTGGTCCCAGTGCCAATCTCAGGCTACTTGAGCTATGCTACTATTCAAGGCTGAGCTGTGTGCTGCGGTAGTCAGTAGCCACATGTGGCTATTTAAATTTAATAAGTAAACACTGAAATTAATTCAAAAAAGAAAATAAAAATGTTGGATAAATTCTAGTCATGTTGCATTAAATTGCCACCTCTTTAAAAAATTAAGTTCTTCAGTCACACTAGCCACCCTTCAAGCGCTCCACAGTTTATGTGCCTAGTGTTTATCATGTAATCAGACAGCGAGGAAATAGAACCTTTCCATCATCAAAGAAAAATCTACTGAAAAGTGATGAGCCAAGGGTTTTACTTTCTGTGGTCAGTTCATGTATTAATTCAGTACACATTCATTAAGTATCTACAAAGCACTTTGGAAGAGAGAGACAGCCCAAAAGTGTGTCTTTCCCAAACGACTAAGGGGGGGATTTTTTAATGAAAATTTTTATACAAATAAATTTTTAATTCTATGCAATATGTATATATGTAATCAAATTTAATAAGAGTCAACTCTCCACCATCTCTCGCAGCCTGCTGGAAAGAGGGTTTCTGTAATGACAAATACTTATGGAAGGCTGTGGTCCAAGGCCATTTTTGTTGACTATAGCAGGGTCTCTGGAACCAGAGGGAGCATGTAACTCTTCTTAAAATTGAAGGTGTGTACACTCCAGATGAAACTGAATTCTACCTAGGTAAGAGATGTGCTTCTGTGCCCAAGGCAAACAACAACACAGTGACACCTGGTGGCAAAATGAACAAAACCAGACTCATCTGGGGAAAGGTAACTCCTGTTCATGGAAAAGTGGTATGGTTCATGGTAAATTCTGAATCAACCTTTTTCTAAGGCCATTGGACACAGAATCCAAGTTATGCTGTACACACTCAAGGATTTAGACTTATTGAGGAGTAAATAAACAAAATTAATTTTTTTCTACTGTAAAAAAGAAGTGTCTAGAGGCTTTGGCTAGAAATAAATGATGAAGATTTACTTAAGGTTTGCAAACCATAACTAGGAACAGCTATGCAGTACCCAGAGGGGTCAGAAGAAGAAAGAAAATCTAAGTGTTTTTATAGTAAAAAGTGTATTCTTGAGATAAATCAACCCTTCATTCGTAGCCTCTGGGTTGGTAAATCCTCTAGATGACCAGTGGCCTGGATAATGGATACCAGTTGGTCTGACATGTGACATTGTCTCCTTAGTCCTTCAGGGGTAATCAAAGGGTTACCTAGATGGAGGTCTTGTGTATATCCAGGTGTTAATGCAAGACTGGAAACTTCAAATTTTAAGTTCCAGGGCTAGTTAAAACAAGAACAGAAACATTTCCTCATGCCTCCATCTATTTGTTTTAGTAATTTAGCAGCTTAACTATAGGGACTTCGTTGTATTTCTTCACTCTATTCATACCTACATTTTTCAACTAGCATTGAAATACAAATTTAATTATGGCTTAATGGAATGCCTGGCACATAGTAGGGGCTCAATAAAAATGTGCTGAATGAAAGGAAGAAGGAACCTTAGACTGTATAGAGAACCTACTCTTGGCACTCCTGCCTCTGGGCTCTTACACATATAAATACTCTCCATTACTTTCCACAGCCTCTTCCTTTAGTCACTAATCATTTAGACACCTCTTTCTGACAGTCAAATTTTGGGTTAAATGACCCCTCCTAGATGTCCCCTTAAGCACTCCCTTGCTCCCTTCCCTAGGGAAATATATCTTACTGAATATTCACTGCCTGTTTATTTATCACTAGACCATAAGCTCCATGAACAGCAGAGGCTGCCTAGCACAGTGTTTGGCACATAGCAGATGCCTTATAAATATTTATTGAATGAATGAGAGAATCCTCATCCTCCATAGCTCTTATAACTATGATTATAGTTTCCTGTTCCAATTCTGCCCTAACCAGTACTATTTGTCACCTTTGATTCATCAGCTTCTAATGCACATTGGTACTTAAAATTATTCATACAACAAATATTTATTAAACACCTTCAAGTAACCTAAGATAGAGCTAGGATATAGTAGGGAACAAGACAGACATGGTCTCCATACTCATGGAGCTTACAGTCGAAAAGGACATTAAAGAATATAAGCAAGTAATTGGGCAATTACAAAATATGAAAAACCTACTTCCATATCTCCAATTTCATCATTTTTTAAAAATATTTTCTTTATTTATTTTTCGAGAGAGGGGAAGGGAAGAAGAAAGACAGGGAGAGAAACATCAATGTGTGGTTGCCTCTCATGTGTCCCCTGCCGGGAACTGACCTGCAACCCAGGCATGTGCCCTGACTGGGAACTGAACCGTGATACTCTGGTTCGCAGGCCCGCTCTCAATCCACTGAGCTACGCCAGCCAGGGCCCAATTTTATCATTTTTAATTTTCCTATTTAAGACACTAATATCCTTCTCTTAAGCATCATTTGAACTCCATTCATTCAAGAAAAATTATTTACCTTTGACTATGTGCAAGGTACTATCCTAGATGCTAGGGTACAACACTTGAACAAGGACAGGTGCAGTCGCCTCCCTACAGTCTAGTAGAAGAGGCACACATGGAAACAATGGAAGTAATGGGAAGCCATGGAGGCATTTTAGGCAAGGAAGGAACATGGCTCTATTTGTGTTTTATAAAATATCATTCTGAAGAAGGATCACAAGGGAGCAAAAATAGGAGCAGGAGGTTATTGCAATTGTACAGATAAGAGGTGATGGTAGTTTAGACTATGGTGGTGGCAGTCAAGGTGGAGAAAGGTGCATCGATTCAAGAGATATTTGGGAAATGAAATTTATTAGAGTAATATGACTTTTTAATTGAGAATTGCTGATTCTTTGCTAGGCCATGTGGAATACCCTCTCTACAGAAGTGAAATTAGAAAGGTTACATAGTGAATAAGGATTCAGGCTCTGAATCAAACAGACCAAGTTCATCATTGGGCTACAAACTAGCCAGATGACCTTGGGCAAAACAATTAACCACTCTATGAAAAAAGGATAATCATAGTAAATACCTCATAGGATTGCTTAAGGGTTGAAGAATTCATATGTTCATAAAACCACATATATCTATCTGGCATATAGTAAGCACTTTAAAATGTCAGCTATTTTTATTATTATTCTAGGAAAATTGGCCTATAAACATTAGTCTGATTAAAATAGAACAGGCTTACCTGTCCATAATAATCTCTTCCCTAGCCTAACTGAGCTAGTTATCACCATATAATTGCATATTATATACCTTCTCCAGCTGTCAAATCACATCAAGATCATTTTTCAAAACTCCACAACAAAACTCACTTCTTGTTTTTTTTCCAAACCCACCCTGCCAGTATCTCCACACAATTCAACTGAGTCAGCATTCCTAAGTTTAGATCTGTAAAGCTATAATTAGCTTTGGCTTGTCTTTGAGTAGTTTTGTATTTGTTTTTCATGCATATTTACCTAACTTCCCCACTCTTGAATAACATAGTCAAGGAAGAAGTTGCAGGCACTTCTTTTAATAATTCTGTTCCATAAGCACGTGGCACTCAAAGAATATGGGTGTCACTTCCCTACCCTATTAGATACCTTTTGTTTTTTTAATTATTTTTTTCTCCATTACTGTTCTACTTTTACTTTTTATGCATCCTGAATGGTGAATAGATTTTTTTTATGATACAAGAAATGAGTATAGGGAAGAACGAAGAATCCTTTCAGGACTTACGGGCTTAGCTAATCTTGGGATTGCTGTGGTGTAACCTCTGACAGTTAATGGGCCTTAGAGGAAGACTGTGTGCATTGGTTGTGTTAGCAGGCTTTGGGGCAAGATGCTTGGGTCTGAATGAACTGTCCCATGCTAGCTTTGTTCCTTCAACTTGGGACTGTATAAAAGGTGGTGGATGATCATAATACCTACCCCTCAGGCCTGTTGTGAGAAAATGAGCTCACCAAGCCAGGCAATTAGCCAAATACCTAGTCTGTGGTAAGTGCTCAGGAAATATTAAACTAAAGAAAAAGGAAAGAAAAAAGTGAAGGATACTGGAAGCCAGTTTGATCAGTGCTTTGTGTTCCCCCAAAGTTCATATGTTGAAATCCTAATGACCAATGAAATGGTATTACAAGGAGGGGCCTTTGCTTAGGTCAAAAGGGTGGAGCCCACACAAATGAGATTAGTGCCTTATAAAAGAGAGCCCACATTTGAGAACCAATGTCACCCCAATAAATTCAATAAAAGTAAATAAATAAACATTTAAATCTAAAAAAGGAAACCCTCAAACCTTCCATCCCCTTTCACCTTTTGAATACAAAGAGAAGTGTGTGACCCAGAACAAAGCTTTCACTCAGCCCTGTTGGCACCCTGATCTCAGACTTCTAGCCTCCAGAACTGTAAAAAGTGAATTGTCTATAAGCCAACAGTTATAAGCCACCCAGTCTGTGATATAATTTGTTATAGCAGCTTG